ATTTGAATATGTATAGCAACCTCTATGAAAAAGACAAGTCGCTAAAGCAAGAAATCATGTGAGAGCAAGATAAACCAATAACTCACTCATACTTCATCCAATACTCATGAAATTTTTACCACACATCAACTATCACATGATTAGCATGCCACAAAAATTTCACTTCATTTGGAGCCCTAGATCTACAGTTATGAAAAAGACAAATACCACTAGCATTACAAACCTAGCTGCATAAATATATTTTTACAGCTAAAACTTCAAAGTAAAACATGTAATATTATAGATCTATTGCATAGAGAATTTCACAAGGATTCCAAAAAGTCCTCATTTGCTATTTTACGAATTTCCTATGAATTACTATGAATTTCCAAAGATTCAGCAAATTTACTGCAAATAGGTCCTTATCGGCACTATTCATCTGAGTCACTGACTTCGCAGTTAGAACCCTGACTTTCGTCGAATTTTTGTAGGAGGTCCCTGACGGGATTTTGAACAGGGAGGTCATCGGGGCTCGCAGAATCCGGCCGGAGGAGGCCATGCCGTCGGCGGCTGAGGGGAGGGGAGCACCAGGGGCCCTTGCGCACCCTGGGCTTCCATTTCGGCCGAGGCGGCTTTGTATTCGCCTGCAGCATGAAAGCAGCGGAGAGCCGGCTGGCTGCTCCCGGCGCGACGGCGCTTCTGGCGGCCGCGGTGGCGAAAAGGGGAGCCGAAGGGCGGCGCACGACGGGAAGGTGTTGGCGCACACGGTAGGACTCGAGGGAGCTCGGGGCGGCGAGAACGCTGGCGGCAAGCAAGCTTGGCCAGCCATGGCGGCGTCCAAGGCACTGAGAGAGGGCGAGAGAGTGGACCGAGAGAGAGGGGAGTGGAGTGAGCGAGGGACAGAGGAGCTCGGGCGCGCGATTAAGGAGGAGCAGGAGCGCGACAGCAGGTGGCACGCGCAGCAGCTGCTGCGGCCATGGTGGGCGCCGCTGCTCCTGCATGGTGGCTACGCCCGACACGCGCCCATTACGCCGAGCACGTGGCGGGTGATTGAACGGGGCATGGTGGGCGGCGTTTTGGGCTGGATCTGGGCCGAATCGGGACATGAGCCGAATACGAAGATCGAAGCCCGCACGAAGCTCTACGTTTTTCGTTAAGGGGTTCAGCCATTAGCAAAACATATTAGAAGATAAATGTATGCCAAAAAACAGCAGTGTCAACACCTTGATGGCAGTCACGGAAACTCACTTTCGGTGGTCAAAACTTCTTCAAACTGAATCCAACTTTTTGTATGCTCTTCACCAAGATGTAAACTTCAACTTTTATTTTTGGACCAACTCAAGTTTCTTAACGAATTTCGGAGAACGCGGAATGTCATTGTCGATGCTCAAGATTTCAGACTTAGGTCTACAAACAGCAGCAGTTTCGATCTTGTAACCTCTGTTTGCATCATCTACAAACTGAACTAGGGCATACTCCAAAAACAAACTATGTTGTACTCAAAACAAAGAACAACTTTTATTAAAGGACCAAGGTCTGGATCAGCTCAGTTTGCAAGATATAAAGCTCCAAAGTAGGGTACCCGCAGTTCAACCTCAGTTAGGACTTAGCCAAATTCCTGGGCTCCAAAACAACACTGTATTGAATCTTGTGAGTTCCATTTGACTAGGTTAGAGGCCAAACTAACTATTGACCATTAAACAAAGTTTGTTCTACACAAGATGAACTACAACTTTTGTTAAAGGAGAAACCTCATAACTGGTACAGAACCTACTGTTCTACTTTGACCAAAATAGGATCACGATGAAGCTTAAATTATCCTTTTTGATCCATTGGAGCATTTTCTGGCCACCTGCTCAACATGAACCCTTCATAACTTTTGTTCATGAGTGCAAGTAGAGTTGTTTGAGCAAGGTACCAAGGTTTGGTTGACTTCATAGGTTTCCATCCACTTGATAAAGCAATTCATGCTAAGATATGACTTATCATTTCATGTGACTTTTTGATTCCAAACTTCATGAAACTTTTCCATGGGTCTAGATGGATGCATGGGGATGTAATGTACATGGAATAAGCATGTTTAACATTACTCTTGCATAATCTTAACAAGGGTCCATATGTAAGCAATGTGCGTGGCCCAAGTTTAAGTTGGAGCTCCATCATGTAAATTTGATCTTGACACCTTGATTACCACTTGACATGTCATGTTTGGGCTCAAACCCAGTGCTTAACTGGTGATAAACACCTGGGGTGTTACAGAGTGGAAGGGTTGGACGGTGACGGGAACCTACGCCAACTCTCCCTCTGTCGTAATAATGAAGTCCAGGTTCCCAAAGCACACGTGCATGACCGGGACCCAACTAACGCCGTGACTAGCCATCCAAGGGCTGATGTGGACGTCGAGATGCGGAAAAAGCCACTTCCTGGCATGCCAACTGTCGGTGTTTTCAGACCACCAACGAGTAAGTTTGTATTTGTGTGTCTGGCTTGGATGGTGTGCTTAGAGGACACAAGGGTTTATACTGGTTCAGGCGGAACGTCCCTACGTCCAATTCACTGCTGCTCGTGTTACCAGCACTTGGTTTGAAGTAGGGGTTATAAACAGGCGAGAGAGGGAGAGGATCCCAAGTCTCTAGTGGAAGGAGTGAATGGGTGCTGAGAGCTCACTTGCCGCTCAGCCGTGTGCTTGTGTCATGCTCTTGTGTTCCAATCTCGTGTCCAGATCTCGATCCCCTTTCAAGGGGCGCCCTACTTCCTGTTTTATAGGCGAAGGGAAAGTACGGGTTACAGAGGAGGAAAAGGAGAAGAACGAGAGAGAGAAGAAGGCTTCCAGGGCTAGCGGGTCCTTCTTCTCCTTCACGTGAGTCCCGCTGATCCTGTAGATGTCAACAGGGATAGCTCCATGTCATGGCCCTATTCATCACTGGCGCCATACGCAGGCGTCATCTGTCGGTCATGGCGTTCCACTCTGTCCCGGTGGACGTCGTGGTGAACTGACGCACCTGTCAGCGTTCGTACGAGGGTTAGGCAGAATAGCACTGGCACGTCCGACACTATTCTTGATGTGAATCCCTAGGTATGGCCCATCATGGCCACAGGTTACATCGAGGTGTGCCAGCCTCTTCCCTGGTGTCAGAGTTTAGACCCAGGCCCATACACTTGTACCTAGAGTGGATGGCGGCGGTATGGGTCCCCATCGGATGAGGTGGAACCCACGTCCTAGAGGTCGGGCAAGATGGAGCCCGCAACCTTGGGCGAGACGGAGCCCGCATCCTTGGGGTCGGGCGAGATGGAGCCTGTGGCCTTGAGGTCGGGCGAGACGGAGCTCGCACCTAAGGGGTTGGGCGAGATGGGGCCCGCACCCAAGGGGTCGGGCGAGATGGAGCCCGTGGCCTTGAGGTCGGGCGAGACGGAGCCCGTGGCCTTGAGGTCGTGCGAGACAGAGCCGCGGCCTCGAGGTCGGGCGAGACGGAGCCCATGGCCTTAAGGTCGGGCGAGACGGAGCCCACGACCTTGGGGTCAGGCGTGATATTTTAATACATCTCGAGCCATCTGGGGAAGTCAGTGTGGGCGCTAACTTCCTTGCTTTGGGTATCCCTAATATCGATACCCGATAGGTTGATTAGGGAGAACCGATAAGGTTGATTAGTGAATTTGGAGTCCTTGTAGGAACCCTTTAGAGAGGATGATAAAGTGATTCATGGGTTAAGAGGGACTATGTAAGGTTATCAAGGAGGTTCCCGAGGAGGGTTTCATTTGGAATGACTTTGGGTCATGACACCCAAGGTGCTACGGTTGGAATAACAAGGGTTATATGTTGACCGTTACCCACCTAAATAACTAATGTGGGACTAATCCACAACTTCACATGACTATTGGGCCACATGAGGTGAAACTTCAACGACATAGGCTACTAATGGGTTGGGGAATTACAATACTATTTCTCAATCTATCACCTCCTAGAGCAAAATGGAATTGAAATGAGTGAAAGATACACAATGGCTCTCACTTGGAACAACACATTTGATCATGTTGTTGATAGGCTGTCTTTTGAAGAAGGTTAATGCAAAATTCCTTTAAATACCATGACAAATATTCATTGGATCAATTTGATAGGTTGGCATCACCAAATAAATGCAGAAGAACCTAAGGATCTATTCAAATTCATAGTAATATGTTTCAAGCAAACATTGAAAAGAATATATTGATTAGAGCACCGTGACAACTATAATCATTATTACCACAAATTTAAGAACCACCTAGTCCATATCCCATACAAGAACATAGAAAACTTGTAGCATATAGGAAACTAAACTTAGACTCTACTATCCTACTACTTAACCAAATAGACCATGTCCAATGAAGGCTACTAATGGGCTTGGGTATTATAATACTATTTCTCAATCTATCAACTCCTAGAGCAGAATGGAATGGGAATAAGTGAAAGATACGTAATGGCTCTCGGCTAGAAAGGTGCATTAGGTCATGTTATTGGTAGGTGGTATTTTGAAGAAGGTAAATGCAAAAAATCCTTTAAATGTCATGACAAATGTTCATTGGACTGGTTTGACATGTTGGCATCACCAAATAATCATAGAAGAACCCAACAACCTGTTCAAATTCATAGTAGCATGTTTGAAGCAAATATTTAAAAGAACTCAATAATCAGAGCATTGTGACAACTGCAATCATTATTACCACAACATTAAGAACCACCTAGTCCACACCCCATACAAGAACATAAAAATTATAACATATAAGGAACTAAGCTTAGACTCTACCAGCTAGCCTACTATGAACCAAATAGACCATGTCCAATGAATGATCAATTGAAGGTCATTCCTAGCATGCCTCAATATCAAACATAACGTCCAAATAACCATCCACATGAGCATCCAATGGGCAGGACCTCTAGCTTGTCGGTCTCCCCTTAACTTGCTCTAGCCGTGCTTCTCGTTACTGCTAAAGCTGATAAGGCAGGGCTGCTTGCAGTTGATGTAGGTGGGGAACTCCTTGCTTACCATGCAGTACCTCCAGCACCGTCTACAACCAGCGAGCACTAGCACCAACCTTTCATCTGATGAAATATCTGATGATACACATGAGCTAGATGATGATAATTCATTATCATTGCCATGGTCAACCTCTACCCTCCCTGTGGGTAGTTCCAGGCGTAGCTGTAGGTCCAACGGTGTCCTCCTTGCACTATTGCCACCGGAGCTACCATTCTTATCATTCCTCCACCAACTCATGGCTAAGCACACACAAGACCAAGATTGTTAGGCGCCATTAGATATATCATGCTTGGTGAAACAAGACATATGCAACTATGCAGGAGAAAGAACACAAATAGATATTTATAACATTAGGCTATGGAAGTTCATACGCTAATCGATTACCTGAAGATGTAAAAGATGAAAGACTTGTGCCTTGCCCCTTTGATAATTTTTTGGTTGTGGGGCTTTGAAGTGTGCCAGGGCATCTTAGATAGGGGGTCAAGGAGGAAGACGTCAATGAAGTTATTCACTAGCAATTAATATGCTCATCATCAAAATCAATGCCTGCATGGGGGTGGTTGCACCTCTTGGTTGGAAGTTTGGTAAGGCATCATCTTAATTTTAGTCAAAGAAATATTTTATATTATCAGCCTTCAGCAGACATTTTGTAGGCCACCATTATTATTTTTACTCAAAGTTAGACAAGTTTGGCCACAAAATTTTTGGAATCCCAAAACATTTTGTCGTATACAGCTACTCCATTTGAAGTAGATAGAAAATTCTTGGTTGTAAAGAAATCAATGGCTAATGAGATTTTTTTATGTAGAAAAACCCTGCTTTTATAAAGCAACACAAAACATTAAGTATGCGGGGGATGCCAGCTTACAAGCAAGCGCCAACTACCACTCAACAACTTCACAACGCTAAACAAGCCAGAAAGATCCTACCAAACCCAACCACACTTGCAACACAAACAGCCAGCGAGAGAAAACAAGCAGCACCCCGCTGAAAACAAAAAAGAGCCAACTAAGCTAACAACAATAAGCCAGCAGAGATAACTAATGGAGCCTACAACTACAAGCCAACATAAAACTAAGCTTCTAGTCAAATCAGTCCTTTGACTTCTAAATTCTGTCAAATCCCCACGGGGATGAATTTTTGGGCTGGGTTATTAAAAATATAAAAAAAATAGGTAAGGAGCTCCCCTCCAATGGTTCAAAAACTTCTAAATTCTCAGTTTGCTGCTAGAAATCTTGTAGCCATGTCTTCATTCTCTTGAGCAAGTCTTCTATGAACTTGGCACCGTCCCCCTTCCAAAGTATACACCACTTCTATAACAGAGCAAAAAATTTGTCAAATTCTTCATTCGATGAACAACTTAATATGATAGTTATGAGACTTTCTATATACTCGTTCTATTTCGTACATTCTAGATCCTCCATAGTATATAGAAAAGATGAACAACTTAATATGATAGTTATGAGACTGTAAAGCAATCCATAAATCAAATACTTCCTAAATATGTGTTGGGCATTTATCCCAGCCCAAAGCCACTTTGAAACACATTCAAATAGTTTTAGCGAGGATACAGTTGAAGAATGTGTTCATTAGTTTCTAGTACCCCCACATAGACAACAATTTCTATCACTTTTCCACCTTTTTTCTTTAGATTTACCCCAGTTTTCTAGTTTATTTTGAATGAGCATCCACATGAAAACTCATATTTTCATTGGAGCTCTGTTTTTCCAGAGTTTGATCATCCTCTTGTTCACAACACCTCTAAACATTCTATTTCTATAAATAGATCTAGTTAAGTATACCCCAGACTTCTCATAGATCCCTTTTAGAATTGAGACCCATTGCTAAACTCACACTGTGAGAAAGATTTCCTTCTAAGATACTTCCTCTTCAAAAGGTTATAACAGACATCATTATCATCAGCTTTGAGCATCCTCCACACCCTTGTATACATGATCCCTAACCCACCAAAGTCCTTGGGTAAACACATTCTCCCATTTAACCGTGTGATATTTAGATTTCTCACTGCCCCCTTGCCAAAATAATTTAGCTCTAATGGCGTCCATCTGTTGGTGGACCCCTTCCTTTAGATTATACATCCCATAGTATATGTAGGCAGACTACTAAGAAATGTTTGTTAGGATTAGTCTACCCCTTGATGTCATGTTCTTCCCCTTCAAAGGTTGATGCTTTTTCTCCATTTTACCTATCATTCTACTGAAACAGCTAATCCCCAAATGACCATCAGACACTAGAATCCCTTAATAAGTCAAAGGCAGTATCCCAACTTGACAGTTTAACATATTTGGCACCCTGATTTGGTCTTCCTTTTCAACCCCTAGTACCACCACTTCTGATTTATGATAATTGATTTTAAGACATGTCAGCCATTCAAAGCAGTATAATAAAAAGTTCAAATTTGTAATGTTTTGCTCATCATACTCCAAGAATAGGATAGTATCATCTACATACTAAAGCTGGGTTAAACCACCAAGAACCAGGTGAGGAACCAAACCCCTGAGGTGTTTCTTTTCCTTTGCTTTGTTTAGTATGTGTGCTAAAGCGTCCCCTACTAAATTAAAAAGTAAAGGTGATAATTGGTCTGCTTGTCTTAGTCCCCTATGTGTTTTAAAATATGGTCCATTCACCCCATTGATGTTAATGCATACTTTACCATTCTGTACAGTACTCATTATCTAGCCAATCATGTGTTGTCCAAATCCTTTTCTCATCAACAGCTCTTCTAGAAACCCCAATTGACACTATCATATGCCTTTTCAAAATCTATTTTGAAAATTACTCCTTTTAACTTCTTCCTCTTCATCTCATGTCTGTCGCATGTAAAATCAGTGCATCGTCTAGTATATATCTTCCCTTGATAAAGGTTGTTTGGCACTTATCAATTAGTTTTTCAGCCACCCTAGTAAGCCTATCCATCAATATTTTAGAGAAGATCTTGAAGCTAACATTCAGAAAGCAAATTGGTCTAAATTGCTTGACATTAACTACATCTTGTCATCTGCCCCATTATTTAATAGCAGTGGACAATGGAAAATGTTGTTCCGAATCAGTAGACACCAGAATTGTATCAATATTACTTAAAATGGCTTGCTCCTATTTGTTTGACCAGGTGAATCTAGGTCAAGTCCTCTTAATTTCTCTCAGGTGATGATCTTCAATGAAACTGTTGAACATCCTCATCAGTCTAGGATTGCCTTGGTGGTTACTCTTATCTTTGAAGTTCCTAATTAAGTTGAAATCCCCACCTATATAACCATAGACAAGTGAGAATTTTGATAACACCCATATCCAACTCCTTAAAAAAAATCTACTAACCAATCATGATTTGTAGGTCCATAAACTACTACCAGTCCCCATCTAAAATTATCTAGCCTATCTTTGATCATCACCTCCAAGTAATAGACCCCTTCATTCCACCCCCTCTATTTCTGATCTATCATCTTTGACTCCCACTAAGCTAACTCCTGAATGTCCATAAGCAGGAATCCAATTCCAAATATAAGGAACCCCATTAGTGAACCCCTTTAATTCATTGTCAAAGAAACTTTTCTTGATAGTCTCCTGTATACCCACAATGTCAAACTTCTCTTTACTGATTAACTCCTTGAGTTGTCTGACTCTAGCCTGCTTTCCCATTCGATATTCCATAGTAACAACCTCATGTTAACTAAGTATTTTGAGTTCTCTCACTAATCTAGATTTGGCCCCTCTTGGTTCTTGAGTACCATCCCCATCTTTCTTTGGCATACCCCTGCTATCTTCCACCCAACTAGCCCTGTTATCTTCTTCAGTTAGACTACCTTCTTGGTTCTCTTGTGATTAAATAATAGTGATCATACCCCTATTCCCCACCAAATCAGAATTTAGGATAGACCCAACTTGCGTCTATTGATGATACAAAGTCCGATTTCAAAACGTATTAAGTTCCGTTCAATGCACGGGCATGTTTGTTAGTATTAGGTAAAAATAAAGATTACAAACCACAAAAGATAGAACAAGTCAAAATATGTCAGGCGCCGATCGGCCAGGCTAGTGCGCCGATTGCAGGTGAATGGCCCATTGAAACAAGACTCGGAAGTGAACATCGTGTTCTAGAGACAGAGAGGCAGTGGGGTCTACATACACACTATATAAAGAAATGAAAACCAATAATGAAGGGAAACTTTTGGACGGGAGTTTCCACCGAGATTCATAGCCACCGTGTAAAGAGGAGAGACAGAGTTGGGTCACAGCGAGAGCTGCCACCGATTGGCATTCTCTTCTCCATGTTTAGACCTTCTCTTCCTTGGTCTACACCTAGGCGACATTCTTCTTCCCATGCCCTCCTCCATCCTCGGTTTCATCTCACAAGACGAGCTAGGGTTGACATGTTTTTTTCATAGAAAAGACCTGTCCATAGGAGAAGGGGAAGGCAAGATTATTGGGCCTGCCTGAGAGAGTCGAAGGAGGAAATTAGCAAGATTGTTGAGGGCCTTGTAGCTTCTTAGTTTTCTTGTGGTCTGACATGGTATGGTGAAAATCCTCTTTGTTCCTCAAGTTGTGCAATGCTGATCATATCATGTGTTCATTTTGGGATGATTTGGTCTTTTTGCAAGATTATTAGGTCTTTTGCATGATTTGGTTTGGTTGCCCTAGTTATTAGGTAGTGTTAGTTTCATCTGAACATATCATCTGTTCATTTTGGGATAACTAAAATACTAAAAATTTAGATAAAAACAACAGTTACGACCAGTGTTTAGCTACAAGGTTTTCCGTCAAATCATTGTCACGTGCTATGGCTCAATTTATCTAATGTGAATACATCATCTTGAATTTAACTCTCACATTAAGGTGCAATATTCCAAGCGATAGTTCTATACAAAATTTATACAATTACATAGGCACTTCTAATAGAAACTTTGCCGGACCCGATTTGAAGTGACCGAGCTATAGACTTTCATGTATATTGTTGGCGAAAGCGTATAAAAGTTGTGTACTTTGACTACACTAATACTTACATATAATGGGAAGGAGTGTAGTATATTTCTTACGGGCCGATCCCCTGCCCCATACTAGGCCTAGTGAGGCCAAAAGGAGGGCCTTGGCCAGCCGAGGCCTGGTCCAAGGCGCCCCAAGCGCGCTCAAGAGGGGGCCGATCACTACCCCAGATCACGACAATACTGCCGGTTCAAAACACCCCATCACTACCAGATTTTGAACCGGCACAACCATATCAG